GGGTTTTTTCATCTAAACAAAAGCGACATTAATTTCTTGACGACCTAATACTTATTTATATATGTTTACCTTATATTTTAAATAGCCAAAGTATTTAGAAAAGTCTGTAAAATGTGAATAAGCAAGAATAAGATTGAATTTATTCAATATCGTTCTTTATACCAAAACCGTTTATTTATTTGACATGCTACAAAACACTAAAACACCAAGTTTTTTGGTTCCGTTTAAAAGTAGAACCATAAAATTTAAATTTTTGCTTTAGGAATTAGATTGTTTTCATATTTTCGCGCAAAGCTATACAAAGCGAATAGCTACCCCTAATTTTGAACTGATAGATTAAATTGAAGGCAGCTAGTCAGCAACACCCACCACTAATTCTTGGACTACTCTTACCTGATAGAATAGTAAGATTAGAGCGTCACTCTTATAGCGCACTACAGACCAAAATTTCGAAGCGTGTTTTTATGGAAACGAGCCACGAATTATGAATCCTCGGATTCACAGTTCGTGACACTAACCACTTGACTACACCAGGCTTCATGTAGAACTCCATTTAACCTATTTGTGAACTTCATTTAATTGAAAATTAAAGCTGTTGACTAGCTGTAATACTAAAAGAATTGAAAAGATTGGTTATGAAAGGAAAGACAAATAGATAAATAAATAAATAATAAATTACTTTTCTTTTAAAGCATAAAACATATTTTGAGAATTTAAATAAATGTTGCATAAGATTATAGTATTTGTGAAAATAGTACATATAGTGTAGTGAAAATCCATAAACCTCGAACTGTACATACAATCTATTGTATAAATTATACACTAGGTGGCAGCGTGTTAGACTGTTTGTCATCAGTTACTGTGACGTCACAGACTGCTCGTATTTGAAAGCGGTACACCAACAAGAATTTAACTTGGCGCTTACTTGAATGTTGAAAACGAGTCACACTGGTCATCTGACAACAGGCAAGTGAGTGCTGTAATCCCACTGGACGTCTAACAACAGGCAAGTCAGTATTTGCTTATTACTTCTTTAAAATCTATCTTAACTGTAAGTTCTCACAAATATGTTAGCCTTGAAATAATTAATATAAGCTTTATATATACATATATGTAATTATATAAATATATAAATTGAGCATTTTTGCCCAAAGCAAAAAGAACACTTGAATATATGAAACTTAATCAAAGAGTGCTATTTATACAACGAACTTGTACATAAACATAAAATGATTCACATATAACATATATACAGTAATACACTGACAAAGATTTGTATACATTAATTTCTTCATTACGAGTTTTTTTAATGTATTTATGTACTAAATTTACGCACTTTCTTAATCTTAGAAACATTGTTTTAAGATCACTTGGTTGCACTAATAGTTGATAAGCTAGTATTTATCTAGCATCTTAATTTAAGAGGTTTCTAACAAGGCATGTTATCTCTGATTATTGTTACAGTAATACTTCCTCAAATACAAGCCGGTTGCAACTGAACTGTAAAATTTCCATCCTGGGATTTAATAGAAAGCGTCTTTCTGATATGTAACTAATTTCGTTGGTAAGAAACTAAATCAAGAATTATAATGGCTGGAGACGGCTTGAATGGGTAATGAAGAAAAACTTTAATATAAGTTTAACATAACAGCAAATGTACAACGTTTCGACAAGGTTTTGTCATCATCGAATTTGAAATCAAGAATTCTTGGACTGATACATCCTTGGTTCTTTACATGCAATACTATTTAAGAGTTAAGGTGGTACATCCTTGATTCTTAACATGTAATACACTGTTTAAGTGTAGAGTCATTGCATTTAAATTCCGCCTTTATAAGTTAGATTTCTTGAGAGACAAAGATGAGGACAAAGTAGAGTAAATATACTTGAAAGGCGTTGTTCATGGACTGCATCTGCTTAGGAGGTTTTTTTTTGGACAAAGATCTGCGCTAGCAACTCGAAACGTCGTTAAAAAACTCCCTAGACAGATGCAGTCCACTAACAACGTCTTTCGAGCATATAGATGGTTTTAGAATTTCACACTAAGCTAAACAAAGGATTACCTATGCGTAGTAGTCTGCAATTTTGAACTGATAGGTAAGAGGGAAGGCAGCTAATCAACAGCACCAGCCGTCAACTATTATCTTCATTAATTTGTGAGTTATTTTTAGTTTTGGGCTAACGTTTGAAAAAATCAGTTTGAAACACGTCGATTCAGGAAACTCAACAGCTCTATGAAAGTTGTAAACTCAGAAATTAACATCTACAGAAGTGTATATAGAGTTCTTGATTCAAGATGGAAAGAGGAACGGCGAACTTTCTTTTACCTAATATTATTGTTGTCTCTAAAAAATAGTAATATTCTTGCAACTGTAAGTAACTTCTGAAAACAAGCAACTGAATAGTACAGCTTAAGTAAATAACATTTTATATAAGGGACTTATAACTGAGATTGACTTCTTTACAAAAACACAGTTCAGTTAAAATCATTGTAACCTAGACTAGAACACAAGCATAACGGATATTCGAAACGCAACAAAAATAAGAAACATATATATATATTGGACATTTTTAGAATAACAAAGTTTGAATGTTTGGAATGTTTAAACGGTCCTGTAAAACGAAAAGTAACGGTCAATTTGACGAGAATAGCTTCTAAACTTTCTATGGTGTTTTTACAAAGAAGTTTTCCCTTGAAATTCGAACACATCGCAGCGGGAATCTAGAGAACAGTAAATGCGGGCGACTGAAAAGGACTCGGTGGTGTATTTAGTCCTAACTTTATACCAGCTGGTCTTCCTTCTGAACTGAGCATGTCTTTGTGAGTTTGAACTACACAATTCAGACCGCTCTACCGGTCGCTTTTACTGACCACTTTCTTACATACAATTTCCCAGTTCTTTACTCCCTTACGACGGCGTGACGTTGTTTATTATGGCTTCTCGTAGACTGTTGTGTTAACACTAAAAGTGTAGTAACGCTTTCGCATTCCTCACCGTTTTTTATAAATCACTCCGTTTATTTTGAACTTATACATGTATCGATATTACCTTCTGGGCTGCTTTCTACCGTTAAACACATTCCAAATAATACTTTGGTTTGAATACACAGCAACTGTTTGCCTTTTAAATAATTTTTTTTGAAAAATTGTAAAAGATCCCCAAAATTATCAAAACTTAGTTTTCATAAGACACTGGAATAACCTGCAACTCTTCTAAAATATTCTCTCCCCCCCTTAACTTCTGGCAAGTAGTTGGCAGCTCAGAAATGTTACAGTTAATTTATACATATAAATATATTTGACAGTTTTGCACTGACTTTTCAGATTTAAACACCGTCAATTAACTGTAATCTAACTATATAAGTCTCAGCCTATTTTTTCAGAGATTATATAAGATGCGTGTTTGTAGGGGGAGCAAGTAATCAATTTTTCACTAACTGAGCAAGTCCGTATGTCCAAGCTTTTCATTTTATTGGAAGCAAAACCAAAATCTCTTGAGCTAACACAGACTATAAACACTTTTTGAAAACATCTATTATGCGAATTTCTATTATACATAAACAGTTCACTTGTTGCTATAGCAACCGGAAAATTAAAATTTGTCGGTAGAAAATTTGGTAAACTTTGTCTTTTCTGAAGAGGTTGCTACAATACCGTGTGAAAAACGTTTAATTAAAACAAGTCAGAAAACAGCAGTGTGTTTACTGCAACAGGGTCGATTGAATGTTATTTAATTAGAGTGATTCGTCCTTAATCTAGTAAATGTAGCATTAGGTAGTCATGGGGGCCAGGCACGTGCTTTACTTCTACAGTGCTATGAATAACGGATGTTACTCCTTTTTGTTACAAGCGTACAAAACTACAATAAATGTTTCTTATTGGTTAAGAAATGTTTACAATAAAGTTATTCTGCCATTTTCACCAATAATACACGAACTACAATAAATATCTATTTTTTTTAATAGTTAAAAAATTTTACAATAAAGTTAACGTGCCACTTTCACCAATAATACATGAACTACAATAAATGTTTATTATTTATAAACACACGACTTGTACAAGTTTCACAAATCAATAAAGATTTAGACTATCGACTTTCCAGTAAAGACTGGATAAAAAAATGTATGCATTTTTTGTTTTTTTTTATAAAAATGAGACAAAATTACACCACCTAATATTAGATATTTGTTTCTAATAAAACTGATGTTGGAGAGTATGGGAGAAACTTTTTAGAACTCTAACATCTACCTTCATTAACCATTAACCATCGAATATGTGGATCCTCAAAAACATCCTCACCAATGTTTAGTTGACACCTATTGAGTGAGTAATCGTTAAAACATTTACAAAAAAGTTATTTTGTACGGTGGAATGTTTAGCATAGATCAAATTTATAGAGGTATTGTCTAAATATGGTAGTAATTAATTAAGAATAACTTATCTGTCATAAAAAGCTGTTTACGAATAAGTTTGGGTGTAATAATTTCTCAGTAAATAAAATTTGTAGAACTATTTGTTTAAGATCTAAAACTGTATGTTATAATACTTATTTTAATAATTTTTAAAGAAACATTTAACGGAAGGAGTAATATACTAGAATAAGAAGATCGTTATTGGTGTTTCATATTCGAAACGGCCGGAGTGTCGCGGGTTTGAATCGTATCGCCGAACATACTTGCCCTTTCAGCCGTGGAGACATTATTTGATCAGACTAGGCTCAAATGTTGGCGGTTGGTAGTGTTGACTAGCTGTGTTCCCTCTAGTGTATCGCTTATAAATAAGGGACGACTAGTGAATATTGCTCTCAAGTAGCTTTGCCTGAAATTCAACAAAAAAATCAAACATTAGGTGACCTAGGAGAAGGTAATGATGTTTTTCTAGCTTTATTCTCTGCTTTAAACATTCCTTATAGGATTATAAAGATATAGTCTTCCACCCCCACCCTTCCTCGAGATGCTCGTGGCTCCGTCACTGGCTTCTGTTTTTATTATATGCTTATGTTCGCTACTGACACGGCCTGAGTGATAACAGTTGGTTAAGAAGGCCCACTTCTAGAGTATAATTTGAGTGAAACATTTTAAAAAGATGTCAAAATACTCGTGCAGCATTTTGAGATAAAGAACTACTTAAGATTCAGTAAGAAAGACTACAAGTGAATTGTTATTAAAAAAAAGTATGGGTTTTAGAATAAAGTATCAACTTTGTAACACATGTAGATCTTTCCCAACTCAACCTTTTAAGATCGGGGCCACAATAAAGTGCACGAAAGAAAGGATATTCTAAACTACATAGTGCTGTTTTTAGCAGTAAAAGCAAACATTCACATGCCACCAAATCCTCGACATCATAGTTTCAATAAAACTATGGTTAACCAAGTTAATCTAAAGAGTTCGAAGAAGTCATGAACAAGTTGATACACCCCAAAATAACTCGATTGTATGGGTTTAAACTTATAAGATAATAATGATGATAATAAAAGATGGGAGATATGGTTTTAAGGCCTTGCAAAATAATAGCAATAATTATAATAAAAGACGGAAGGTTTTGTTTTAGTCTTATGAAATGATAAAAAAAAATATTATAATAAATATGGTAGGTATTTTTTCAAGGTCTTATAAAATAATAACGCTGAAAGACTGGAGATTTTGTAGTTTGGAAGTGTTACAGGAAAAAGTGGCCAATCTTATAGGTATAAAAACGTTTAATTTCTTATAGTGATGTAAGATTTGCCCTAAACCACACGTGACCAGAACACAATTTTAATAATAAGACAATATAAGTTATCTTACTATTTATTTTGTTCAGGGGGTTATCTGAACACTCGCTGAAACGAATTAATACAGTAAGTACTTATTAATGAAACATAGAGCATCAGACGGGTCATTAATAATATCATACTGTTTATTTTGTTCAGGGGGTTATCTGAACACTCGCTGAAACGAATTAATACAGTAAGTACTTATTAATGAAACATAGAGCATCAGACGGGTCATTAATAATATCATACTG